GTAGGGAAGGAAACGCCAACCCATCTATACCCAGCTCCTGGTTTAAGAGTATTTTGGGATATGTCTGCTCAGTTCCAGTCCAGGAGCCCTTTAGAAACCAACAAGATTTCCCAGCTAGAAGCTTCCCAGAGTCAAAGCTCCCTTCCTCAGATGTGCCCCTGGGCTCAAATCTAGCTATTCAACTGCAGAGCAACACGGCTTTCCTCTGAAGTGCTCGTCTTGGAATATGTCTGTGCGTGTAAACTGTTAATCTAGTGAGTTTTATTACTGAATATTTTCTTGGAACATGAGACAGAACAGGCCTGCTCTAACTTACAAACCCAGTTCTGCCTTCCCCCTCCTTGGCTGGTGCCAATTCCTGGAGGGTGCTATTCCACTTCCTTCCACTAGGGTACTGCTACCACCACTGCCCTTGGGGGGTCTTCCTTTCAAGTGGTTCAGACTCCTGAGGTCTCCTGGTTCTCAGTGCCTGGTTACCAGAGGGAGCAACTTGATTCTTTGGGGTTTCCTGGAGGGTTGGCACTGGGTGCCTTTACTGCTTTTCGAGTCCAGCTATTCGACTACAGCGCAAGATGAAATGATCTTCTTAAAAGATGTCTGTGTACGTCAACTGTTATCTTGTGTCTTTTATTACTGAATATTTTATTGGGCTGTACCCTTGACTCCACGGCAAAAAGACTCTTTTTCGGCCAACATAGTGTTCCAGCGCAGCTCAGAAACAGCTGTTTCTGCATGCCAGAGATGTCTTTTGGTCACGTTTTCTCTTATTCATTGTTCCCTTTCTCCTTCCTCCTCAGACTCGGGATGCCAACCGGATGGGGAACGGCACTGAGGCTCAGCAGAACTCCAGGATGGCGCGGAACTTTGCCCACTCTGCGCTCTTCGTGGGGATTGCGTTGATTACTGTGTACATTGTTCTGAAGGTGTCCGTCCTTAGGGCTTAGTTATCTCCGAGGACACACGCAAAATATTTGTCCACAAAATTACCTCCCTCTTTGTAATGTTTAATTCAAAGGGGTTTTTTTTAAATTGTGAACATTAAAAAAGAAATCTTCTTCCAGTTCTGAACCGACACTGATCTAAATGAAGAGATCACAGGCAGTTAAGGAGGTGTCAGGAATGAAGCCCAACTGATTGGTGGTTAATCAGATCAGCCAGGAAGAAGACTAAAATCAGACATTAAGTACCCTCTTTCACCCATTGAAGCTACTGTAACTGTCAATCAAGTCTGTGATGAGCATTTGACATATATCTTGTAGTCATTGGAATTGCTTGCATGCATGGCATTTGAAGTTTGTGCATCATAGTATGCAGAGCCAATGGAAACATAACCCAGGAAAACTGAAGTCTGTTTAGTAACATTGATTGGTTAATGTAATCAGGTGACTTCCTTCTAGATCAGGCTAAACAATAGCCCACAAGGTAAACAACAGGTTAACCCTATAATTACTGAATCTTAGACCTTGCAAGTCACATATTTCCACATCTGACGTATACAACAAAGCCAACCCCTTTCTATCTCTGGGGTCAGGAAACTCAAGGAAAGCTGGGTTAAGCCAGGGTGACTGACAGCACCAAGGAAGCTGGTTTGTGATATTCTTATTTAGTCAGAATTTTTATATTGACTTCTGACTGTTTTAAAGTACAAACATTCTCAGTATGCACAGGTGCCACACGAGGCCATGTCGTGTCCAGTGAAGGCCGCTGAACTCAGGAGAGTCCTGAAGTTTTCTGGGAACAGAACAGAACCAGAGTTTCAACTATATAGGCTCATGACTATAGATATGAAAGTATCATAGGCAGTGTTCCCTCTAAGCTGAGCTAGTGTGAGCTAGCTCACAGGTTTTTAGCCTCCAGCTCACGCATTTTTGTCTCAGCTCAGGAAGGGTGGCTCCTGAGCAAACCAATTTATGCAGTAGCCAAATCACTCACTCACAACTTTCATGCCAGTAGCTCACAAAGTAGAATTTTTGCTCACAAGGCTCCACAGCTTAGAGGGAGCACTGATCATCGGTGTACCAGAGGTTTTGCAAAGTTTTAGCAGAGGACTGAGACCCAGTCCAGTCCTAATTCCGCAACACTTATTACCACCTGTTGTACTTTGAATTAATAGCATAAATAACCTCATGCCAGCTAGGAGGACTGTTGTCTGATATACCTGCGAAGCTTCAGCAGAAGCTTTTGTCATTAAACGTCTTTGAAACACCGCTTGAGATGAAATGCTGTCCTAATTATTTCAACGAATGCGTGGTCATTGGGCTCTGTGGGGTGCAATAAGCCTGGGATCCACAAAGCCGAAATATCACTGTGCCCTATCGAAGTCTGCCTGTCAGTTATGGTCACCTAACAAGGATCCTTGGGATGGATGGCAAATGGCATCGTGCAGCCCAATCGTGTCAGATCTCCAAAGCTAAGCAGGGTTGGTTCTTGGATGGGGGACCTCCAAGGAAGACTCTACAGAGGGAGGCCATGGCAAACCACCTGTGGATCCTCATTTGCCTTGAAAGGCCCTTGCTTGGGGTCATCTTAAATTGGTTGGAAGTTGATGGCATGTACATACATAACAACGCCCCTCAGCTTCACAGCAGAGAAGGAACCCAACTGGTTGCCCATATAACTGCCTGATAGTGATTAAAATATCCATCTCTTGACTTTCTCCATGACTCAAGAGGGCTTGCAAATTTCAAACATACAAAATACAATGGCCAGGGTCCAACCTACCTGAAGGACTGCCTTACCCCGCATGTTCCCCCAAGAACACTACGGTCTGGGACCCAAAATTTATTGGTTATACTGGGCCCCAAGGATGCCAAACTAGCCGTGACCAGGGCCAGGGCTTTTTCGGTGGCGGCTCCTACCTGGTGGAACGAGCCCCCGGGGGAGATCCGGGCCCTGCGGGACCTTGAGCAGTTCCGCAGGGCCTGTAAGACGGAGCTCTTCCGCCAGGCTTTTGAGTAGGAGCCGCCGCCCTACTATACCACCACCGTCAAGACATCTGAATGGATGCATAGACAAGGCCCAAAGAAGAACCTAGAATTGCAGAAGATCGGCTATGCCGCCGCCACTGGATATGTACGCTGAGAGTACCAGCTCGAGCTGCAGGGACACCATCTTGGACCTAGGACACTAGTAATTGTACAGAGCACTTTGGTCTTAGTATTGATGTTTTTATTGTGTTTTTATATGTTTTTACTTATGGCAAGACTAAAGATCTGGCCTCTGTTAGCCGCCCTGAGCCCACTGGGACGGGAGGGATACAAGTGTAAAAAATAAATAAATAAATAAATACCAACCCACCCCGCCTACACTGAGAGAGCAAATGGATCCCTCTAGCTCTGTACTGACTGCTCTGAGAGCAGCTCTCCAGGATCTCAGGGAAAGTAAAAACTTTTGCTATGGGGAAGACCCTTTTAAGCGGAGAGATGTCAGCAATTGAGCGTGGGACTTTCTGCATGCAAAACAGATTAGTTATTACCAATAAGTTCAAGCAGTGGGGCTGTGGCTTAGTGGCAGAGCATTTACTTGGCATGCAGAAGGTCCCAGGTTCAATCCCTGGCATCTCCAGTGGAAAGCAGATGGGGTGATGTGAGATCCTCTACCTGAGATCCCGAGACCTCCTGCCAGTCTGAGTAGACAAGCCATCCATGCAGTGGTCATCTGTCCCTGAAGCCCCTTCTGTGAAATGGCTGGTTGTCTGACCAAGGGAGAAGACACCTTGTTAACTTTGGGTTTGGCCAATTCACTTGCAGGACAGCTGATAGTGTCCTGAAATTTCTTTGGCACACCGGGTCACCCTAAAGGTTGAATCTGGAAACAACCACACCCAAACCAGAGACTCCTTAAACAGAAAAACATAATTTGTTTTAACGTGCACGTGTCCAAGAACAGTAGCCTCAAGGTCCCAGACTGGAGTTCACACATTACATTTATAGGAGCTGGAGAAAAGAACTTTGTTACAACCTCCAACTTACATTTTTGGCAGGCTAACATATAATTGGTTAACAACTTGGTGGCCTGATGGACCTGTGCTACAAGGGGTACATGACTTGCCAGACTTAACTTTAGCAAGAGATCAGCACATACCAATGCACTGTGCAAAAGGGTCCCAGCCACATCCACAAGCCATTTGATTCAGGAGCAAAGGCATAAAAGGTGCAATAAGACATGCATTTATTTATTTATTTATTGACTGATTGATTGATTGATTGAGAGCTGGTTGTTAAAAAGTTTACTAGCACACTAGTGCCAATCAGTTATAAACACGACCTTCTGAGCCATCTCTCCTTATATATGATTCTGTTTTGGTCATGGACTCCCCTGAACATTCCAACACGTTCCCAAATCAGTTGGTTCCCTGATCTGTCTTTCAGAGGGTCTTCCTGTCCACTGGCTGCGTTGCCTGAGTCCTGCCTCCAACATTCTAAACAGTTTGCTGTTCCTCTCCCCCCC